TTGAAGCAACTGCCATGTGATTGGTTGATTAGATAATTGCATTAATGAGAAATTGAACAGGTGTTCCTAATAATCCTTTAGGTGAGGATGGTATAATACGTGCAGTGCCGCGCGCCGCTTTGCGCATTTCTGTTCCCAGCCCCCCTCCCTCTGAGCCACAGCCCGCCTCTCTACGCGAAGGCCGGTGACGTCACTCCGTCATTCCCGCCCCCTTGATAAAAATCCCCGGGCCTCGTCGCTTGCCGAGATTACCAGCTTTCAGAGAGAGACGGGAAAATCGATTCCTGAGTGGACGGAGGCCGGATGGTTAAATCTAACCTACAAACGATATTAAATAGTCATTGTTTTGTAAGGGAAAAAGAAAGAAATATATCCAATATGCCGATTATTAGTCTGACCAGTAACATCACCCCCGAAGGCGAAAGGTAAGGGGGGAAAAGTCGAAAGGGAAAGCAGGTGGTGGCTAACCTGTAACGAACGTTCGTTTAGATAGTTAGTTAGCACGCCGTATGGATGGTTAGCGAGTTAGCTATAGGCCATGGATGAAACCTAACTAAGATGTCGCGTAAGGTCTAACTGTCCAGCTATATTTCACGTCACGTATTAATCTGTCATACATTTTTTTCCGAATTACTTGCCGTAACAGTAATTTATTTGGGTATTAATCAGTCACCTCTGGTTAATAGCTAGTTAGCAGCTTTCAGGCTAGCAGCGTTTTACGTGTGACGTCAGCGGTCTGGCAGTTTACAGTGAACTGTAATCGGCGAGCTAGTCGGCTAATGGATTGGAGTCCCTCGTGTATAATTATCTGGCATTTACTCTCGGGTACGTGGGCTTTCGGGCGATAATCGCTGTCTTTCACCCCCTGATGTTCCAGAATACGAAACCGATATCCAAATAGGATCGTTTCAAAACAGAATCTAGGTCATATTAAACGGGGAACCACTAGCCAGGCTATAGCCTGAGGTGATTCTGCAGCTGGCATCGGAGATCATATTCGACAGGCTTCCATAGCTGAGCATTAATGCAGCCAAAGGACACGGTTCCCGGCTTTTGTCGTCAGGTGGGGTATTAATGTTTTAAGATTCGCGTACTTAGGCTAAAGGCTAACGTGGGGACGCTGCGTTCCCATCCCCCTCTCCGGGCGTCGTGCGTCACCGGGTCCGGGTATAGCGCGCGGGTGCGATTCGCAGCGTCTTCTCAATGACATGCACACTAGTCACGCCGATGACTAACAATAATGCATCTAATACCACTCGCAAATAATCTTTAGCTATGCTGTGATTATTTTTTGATGATTTTAAGTAAGATATACTTTGTGCTAGTACAGATACACACAAGCATGTGTTTAGGATACATGGTGAAAATTAAATTTGCCCTTTGTAGTGGAAAGTGTTGGTGTATGCCATTCATGGTAATTAAGTAATAATGGTGTCTCAGGAACTGTGTGTTAAGTCTTCAGGACCCTCTCCCTTCAGAAGCTGCAGAATTATATAGTCAGGTCCCTTGGCTTCTCTGAGAAATGTTGCTTGGTAACAAGCGAAACCTCATTATTCTTTGGTATGTCAGTGACCAAAAACAGAAAGCAGTTTTCCCCCCTCTGCTTTTAGACTGGAGTGACTCAGTTACCACACATCCATCTGGATGTTGCTGGTGGAAATGAGAGGCTAATGTTTGACCAGCGTGATTATGTGTAATATATTTATTCCTGCCTGGGGAGGCATTAAAGGCTTTATGCCGGGAAGAAGGAATTTGTGTCCTCATGCTGGATATAGCATTTCACAGTCTGTATGGAAATCTGGCCATGGAATTCTGGGTAGAATTACGGGATTAATGTATTAGTTTTTAGAATCGTGATAAAAGCAGATAAAGCTCGACCTTGACACCTGAACCATGACCTTGCTTTGAGCTTGGTAGGTCTAGTTCAAGCACTCCCAAATACTGTGCTAGAATTTATGGGTGTAGACTCCTGTGAGTGGTAAGAACATCTTGTTCAGTTTCACATTAACAAGCAGAATGTATTCTGCAGCACAGCGTGGGAGGGAGACACTGGAGGGGGGTGTCAGGAAGTGTCTGTGATAAGCGCCTTGTAGTTGGTGTCCCTGGCAGCAAATCATGTGCCAGCTTCTGTCACCTCTGTTCATGTAGAATCCAGCACTGAGTTTCTGTCACTGTGGTAGCGTGGGGGGTGGTAAATCGGTTTATCAGCTGTGCCTGCTGCTATTCTTGGTAGTTACTGATGTGCTGTTGGATGATCAGGATGGATGTGATGCTGTATCGTCGCACACCCTTGTCAAGCGCCTTGGGACGACTGTTGCGAAAGGCACTTAATAAAAATAAATTGGATTGTGTGGATTTTCTTGCTTTTGCTGAATGAGGGAACTCCGGTGTAAAGCCTTTCTCCTCCCCAGCCCTTGGCGTTGCCCCCGTTGTTGCAGTAACCCCTGTCCGGGGCCTCGGTGGTGCTCCTGATGCCCCTCTCCCACCCCTGAAGATCCCAGGTGGGCGAGGGGACGACCAGAGGGATCGCAATCTTTCAGCCGAACTTTTCCATTCGGTGAGCTATTGTATCATTTTTTGAGTGACACTGTGACGGAAGTTAATTAGTCAATGGGCGCTTGATTTACATCTGAAACTCTGGGTGATGACATGCTATATGTGTTACTGTGTTGAATGGTTTCCTGTGTTCTTTGGGGGGCAGATCATGCGGATCTCTGTGCTTAGAGCTGTGAATACACCCCCCCACCCCCATCATGGATTCTGGTGCAGCTTTGCTAACTCTCTAAACTGCTTGTCTAGGAGGGCTGACCTGGCTAAAATTTGCTTTAACTGAAGCATAATATTTTTCCACAAGAGCCGAATGTTGTAAGATTCCTGTTTTTGAGATGTATAACTGCCCTGTCAGCCTGTGGAGAAGGTGGGATGTGTGTGTAGCGGTTTTGAGCTGCCCTGATGCTAGTGACACTGCAGTGTCAGCGAACAGTAGGTCTTTGTGTGAGTTCTCTGCGTCAGGGTCTGCCTCTCCTCTCGGGCACTGCAGGACGCCCGGTTGCTGGTCCGCGAGGACCGGGCCGCTTCCACGTCCCGTGTGCGCTTCCTGCTGTTCGAGCCCCGCCGTTCAGAGGACAGGCACTGCACCTGGAGGGCGGCACTGAAAGGGGACAACCTGTACGTGGAGATTCCCGCGGGGTCGCTGCCGGAGGGCAGCAAGGACAGGTGAGGCCGAGCATGCAAATGGCTGCCGCAGCATTCTCGGGCGCTGGAGTCACGCCGGTATTATGAAAACGCAGAGGCTGTTTAATGACGTGCAGTTGACATTCTGCTGAGTCTGTGGATGGAGCTGTAAGGTCGTGCTGTCTCCCCAGCTTCGCCCTGCTGTTGGAGTTTGCGGAGGAGCTGCTGGAGGTGCATCATGTGTTCATTTGTCTCCATAAGGGCCGTGATGACAGAGGTATGTCTTCACGACACTGATTTCTCCTTTTTATTTTTAAACTGCATATTCAGCTTTTCTTTGTTTGCTTAGACATCCAGATGTTTCTCTTTGAATGTCAAATGTTCAGAAAGGGGAAGTCTAACGTGGTAATAAATGAAAGAAATGAAGTTGTAATATGGAACTAACACACACTCTCCGTCTCTCTCTCTCTCTCACAGCGGTGTTGTTGCGAACATTTAGTTTCTTGGGCTTTGAGATTGTGAGACCGGGCCACCCCCTCACCCCAACCCGTCCCGATGCCTTTTTCATGGCTTACACCTTCGAGAGAGATTCCTCTGAAGAATAGATGATGTAACCCCTTTCGTTTTAGCTTTTTTTGAAATTCTGGTGATTCTGTTTTGTTGTGTGCCCTTGCGTTTTACTGTGAGTATCTAATAGGCCAGCCGTCCCGTTTCTGAGAGACGGGGAAGCTTGCCCTTAAATGCTGGATTTCTGATATGAATATGTATGCTTTGAATTTGCACGTACTCAAGGTGCATTTTGGTTCCCCAGTCTACAATATGCAAAATTTAAGTAGACAAAATATTACGTGAATTACTACAGTGGTGGGTGTAGCAGAGACTTAGTTTTGTCAGTTTGGTTTTCGACGCTACTCAGTGCTTCTCTATGCTGTATGAATGTCTAACACCATCATGCTGTTGATTGTGAAGTTGTGTAGTGTTACTTGACCCTAATCTCTCATTTGCCTTTGTGTACATGCTTGCTTGTTGCAGAAGATGAATCGATGTGTACAGCGTTTTTGTTTCGTTTCAAGTGATCTGCATGTTGTAACTGTGCAAAAATAAACTGCTCACCTTAACTGTAGCGTCTCCCTCGATGCTTTTGTTTGGACTCTGCTTTTGTTTGGGCGTGCAGTTTGACTGTCAGCGTTGTTGACATTTTAGGTAAGGTGATCATATTTTGCTTTGCAGTAAAGAGGACATTGAGGGCAGGATGCAAAGAGAGTCAAAACAATGCAAATATGCACACAGAAAGCATTCTGACCGCTGAAAGCAAAATGTCAGCATGAAACAAAGTGAAACCCCAGGCATTTTGGGCATTTTCAGGTCCCAAAAAAGAGGATGTGTGGGCATTTTATTTTAGGGGTGTGAGTGTGCTTTACCCACTGGTACCCTTGTAGGGAGGGTCTTAATGTAAGCCTGTTCGGATGGCCAGAGGAGCAATCTGATCAGATTTCACCCATTGTAGTGAATCATCTCGTACGTGTGGTTCAGTGGTTAATAACCTGCTAAGTACAGAAGAGCAGCTTGCTTTACAGTGCTGGTCATTTATTGTGGAATTGGCGCCCCTCTGATTTTTCAGGTATGTAAATGATATCCATTTGTGCGATTAATTTTTATAGTTTGCTAGGGCTAGCCCTTTTTAGATGTTTAAATATGAATTAATGTGGAATCTGTGCTGGCTTTCTGAAATCCAGGTCAGGTGTTAGATTTCTTTATTACGCCACACTGTGGTAAAAAGCAGGTACTACTGAAAACATGTTTAAGAGGTTGGCGTTTGCTTTTTCTTTTTTAATCTTTGAGGTCATTATTCTACCCATTAAACTACCCGTTGTTGGTTGTTCTGATCAGTGGTATTTTGCATCTGTCTTGCAAAATATACATTTGGAATTTTATTTGGCAAATAACTTAATGCAAACAAAATATTACGCGTGAATATAGGATAATACATACTTATGTCTTATTGAGAAACGTGAGAGAAGTATACTGGCACCTTTTTATGCAGTAATTAAAGATTTTACTTGGTTTGGTTGCCTGATTGCAACATGTTAAACTAGTTATTCTCCTATGTGACTTGATTTGAGAAGATGTATGATATCCCTCACTGGGTATTCTACTCAATGTCTAATGTTTGACATGACATTTGAGAAACGCTAATGTTTTGTGGAGACTGGTCACCATCTGGGAGGTGGTGTCTTAAAATGCTGCATTTAAGTACTTGACCATTTGTCCTTGTATATTTGATACGAGTTATATTTCCCGGGAGGTCAAATATGGACACCTTATGTCACAATGAGACTTTTGTTAGCACTGCAGTCAGTTACTCACATGTTTTACACTTGGGTTACAATTTTTATGTTTGCTCTTTAATGCCAGTTTTTGTTTGCTGGCATTTCTTTAAACCAAGGATTGAGGTTTTCATAGACCCATTTATTTGGTTCTCATAAGTGTGGAAGAAATACTGTCAGTTTAGCTGAAGGTTTTCTGTCCTCTTTCCCAGACACTGCACACTGCAAGCACAGGCAGAAGGAACACCGTATTTGATACAGCAGGAACTGCTTTATTCTCTTCTGTATAGAGTTCAAACACATATAAAGCCATTTATGTATCTTCATGAGTGAATAAATAAATATGTACAGATATAGATAAATAGGCTTACTGATGTTCAAAACAAAACATGCTATGTCATTTAAAAAATAACTCTTGGTGCTTTAAAAACAATGTCCAAGAGATGGTGAACAGCATTTTTAAAGCACACACAAAATATGAATAAATGGTCTTAAGACTCCACCACAGAGCGATTCACACACTAACCCCTGTCACCTTGTTCTGGCATGAGAAACTGGTGATTCTCACTAATCAAACGCTGTCCTATGTTGTTAACTCGATGAAGCAAACGGCTCACCAAACGCCACTCTAAAAATCAAACAAGTTATGTATTATAGAAACGAACTTCCCATTAGTGGTCCTAAAACCTGCCATTTGCTCACATTAACATAAGGCAGTCTAAGTAGTTACTCATAAATATGACCGTTGACCTCTGCTTTGCAGTCACTGATAGCAGTAACTCATTACTGGCCACTGAACACTGAGAAACACGCTTCTTTGCTTTCAGTCCAATTGTCTGTTTCTGGAACCAGAATCAGCAGGGTCTTCCATTATACAGCACACGGACCTTCACGTCTGCGTTTATGCATCTCATTTTCAGTTATTCAGTTCAAATCAGGTCTTCACGCCAATACAGAAACAAAAATGGTCTGAGTAATATGACTGCGTTTTCCAGGTGAAAGTTATACAAAAAGTGCTTTCATTTATATGCAACAGAACACTCCCTCTGTTTACAGTACAACCTGACGTTCTGAGACCTCAGACTACAAAAGAAAAGATGAGCTGACTGAGTGGAGCGGCAGTTACTGACTGACAGGTTGTGGGGAAGCACGTAGCCATCTCTGAGACCTTTGAACCTTGCCGCTGAACCTAGACCTAGAAGATTGTCCTAATGTTCCACCACGGCAGGCTGGGTTGCAAACCACTCACAAGACAGACAGTTAGGTGTCAGAGTTGGGAAGACAAGTCTGTGACCATCTGGTAACTGCAAACTGCCCGTTTCATCATCGCATTTTCCTTCACTGCAATTTTAGTGTAATTTGGCCAGTCTCCCAGAATGCAGTGCAGCTTCACACACCGTACTGTCATCACACATGCATATATGCTTCATTTCTACTGGAGCAAAATAGGATGCTGTGCTTCTTTGGAAGATGTTTTAACAGAGCTTCGGCAGGGGTCCCCATGGAAACACATTCCTGCCTTACATGATACATGAAACTCCGTCACCATGCACACACCTGGTGAGACTGAATGCCACACAGCCACAGTGTTTTTAAGCAGACGGCCTTCCCTGGTAAACGTCTTTGTCGCGGAGCCACCAGCAGATGTGGTCATTGGTTGGGTTGAGGTGTGGACAAAATATACAATAGATAGCAGATCCTAAACTGTGGGGTAGGATGGATTAGTGTTTGGTCTGACCACACCCCTGCTGCCTCTGCTGTTGGGCCATGCTGCATCGCTGGGCTACCAGCCCCATCAAGGGGCTACCAGCTCCATCGATTAACTACTGGGCCCATCAGTGGGCTACCGCCACCATCACTGGGCTTCCACCACCATCACTGGGCTACCAGCCCCATCAATGGACTACAGCTACCATCCTAAGGCTACCAGGTCCATCAATGGGCTACTAGCCCCCCATCAATAGAGCACCGGTCCGAACAATAGACTAGCAATACCATCTATGAACTACTAGCTCCATCAATGGGCTACTGTCCCTATCACTGGCCTACCAGTTCCATCAATGGACTACTAGCCCAATCAATGGGCTACCAGTCCCATAAATGGGCTACTGGCCACTTCTATGGGCTACTAGCCCCTGTCGCAATTCCATGCCCCATGTTGCACAACCACATGCCTGTCATAGGGCCCAGTCACAGGGCAGTGATACTGTGGGTTCCCTCAGGGATTGGGTTTTAGACAGATGGTTTCATTGGGTCATGTCATAGGAGATCTTACACCTCCTCTCCAGTCAACAGCATGGAGGACAGGGAGGGCTGGCTGGGGAGGGCCAGTAGGCTAAGGCTATCCGCCGACACATGCTCAGGCCCGACGGCATTCATGGCACCAATAACTGACAATAATAACAAACCGAGCTCAAAAATCATGTTTAACCTATTAAGTGACATGGTATGTAGGAAGTGATACCTATCCAGAAGGAGGTGATCTTCACATGAAAAGGAAGTTGGAGGGGGGGGGGGGTGGATTGTGGACAGCACCTATTCCTGAATAAAACAAACACACATTTCAACAGCTCGGATCTTATACAGTCGCAGAGTAAATCGACGTTTAGCACAGGCTAACGTTTTCCTCCACCTTTAAACATATTCTGAGTACCTTGTTGCTGCTCTCCTAATTTTTTTTTTTTAAGAAATACAAACGAAAAATGTTATTTTCACAATATTACACATAGTCCAAAAAGGTGCAAAAATAATAAAAAAAATAAGCTAGCAGGTGGTTTGTGTTCCGACACGGGCGACAGTCACGGGCTGGCTGGCCACACCCCTCAGCTGGGGGACAGAAGGGGCTCACACATATGCACACGGTGGGGCATGCTAAAACTACAGGTGTGTTTTTTTTGTTTCTGTCGATCTGCTATGTATGTAAGTTTGTTACAATGAGAGGAAAAGAGAAGTCTGGGAACTGGTATTTAGCGTCCCGTGGGAAAATTCTTTTCCACAATTTCCGCCGCCCTCTTTTCCTGTCCCCAGCATTGTTTTGTTGTTCTCTCCTGGGATCTAGCCTTCAGTCGTGCCACCATGTGACAGGGGTCGTGACCCCTGCGGTCAGATTCGCCCGGAGTTACAGCTCTCTGGTCCTCTCGCCTTCGTCAGCTACGGAGAATCTACTGCGGGGCAAAAAAAACAGGTGACGGTCAGGTGGTTTTTCCTCACACATGGGGCCCCCCGGGGCGAGGGGTCGGTCACACTGCATGTGATGGCTTTCCCTGCTGCTAGGACCAAGCCTCAGGCCAAAAGCACCAGCAGACGAATGTTGGCATTTTGTCAAAATTAAAGGATGCAGATAAAAGCTTAGGAGTCGTCCTTTAATTTTTTTTTAACCAGGATAACAATACTGACAGTAGAAGATTAAATGTAATGAATTAGGGCAGAAAGATACATGCGGTTATAGAGCACAAAAGCTCAGCAGATTTTTTTCCAGCAACAGAGCTGTAGAGGGAAAACAACAAAGCTTCTGGAACAGGCTGGATCCTGAGGCTATATGCTAAGGTAAGTCATCACATTTTGCTTACAGAGAGCAGGAGGGACATACTATTGCTGAAGGCAGGGTGGTGGGGGAGGGGAGGGTTGACGCATACTTACTGTCTCGCTCTCCTTGTCAGATGGCGACTGAGTCTCTGTGCCATAGTGCAGAGGAGAATACACCCAGCTCCTGTCCTCAGGAGGCTGCTACGGCGCCATGTGGACAAGAGGGGGCAGCAGAGAGAGGAGGAGGAGCACAGGTGCGTGGAGACACGGACCAAACGGAAAATGAGGAGCAGGTGGGAAAAAGAGAAGAGCGAGAAAACCAGGATAAGAGAAAAACTTCCAGAGGCATGGGGAATATCTTTAAAATACTTCCCTTTCATAAAGAGCATAAAAACACTTTGAAGCAATGACATGAATCAGGCTGATCGGAGTCGTCCTTCCCAGAAGCTGGGTGTTGCAATTATGCTGGGTGTGATTAAGCCAACAGGCTGATGCCTGTGTGCTGTGTGCACCCCTACCCGACAGAGGAGTATGCTGATGCACAGCGGAACCCGGGGCCAGGAAAGGCCCCTTCCAGATCAAACCCGACCCAACGGAACCTTCTTGTGGCCTCAGGTCATTGCATAAGATGATGGCAATGGTCCCGTCACATCCATCATTCTCCCCACTTGTTCATCTGTACTGAGACGTCGCCCCGCTACCGAGACAGAAGCTAAAATGCTAATGCTAACAGACGGAGTGCAGAAGTGTGAGGCGCACCCTAGTGACCAAGACTTACAATGCTGCTCGAGCTGGGCTTACGCCGGCGCAGAACTGGGGAGTAAACCCAGTACCTGCCATCCGCAAACTGGGAGGCACACAGAAAGAAGGGTACAGGGGGGCGAAGAGGTGGAGAGGGAGGTGAACAGAGGTTAGAGTGAATGATGGTGGAAAATGGAGACAGCAAGAATGGATAAACAGACAGAAAATGAAAATGAAGATGGGGAAAGAAATGAAAGGGAGCCAAAATATTCTGCCTGAGGAAGCAGAAGACTGTAGAGGTGATTTTCCTCAAACCTCGAGGTCTTTCTCCTGAAGCTGCCAATATTTCTTGCTCTGCTCAGTGTGGCCGGGGATTTCCCACTGCGCCAATGGGCAAACTGGGTCCTAAGGACCCCAGTTTTAGTAGGAAAAGGTGGACAGCAAACCATGCCAATAGAGTGGCACGCACACACAAACAAACACAGGTTTGTAATTATATCTTTGTGGGGACTCTCCATTCATTTCTCTAATCCCAAAATGATGACCTTAACCTCTACCCAGCCCTAACCTTAACTGTAAGTAGCCAAACAAAATACGAAACTTTAGGCATTTTAGATTTTTTAATTGCACTCGCAGATCTTTGTGGGGACCTGCACAATGGTCCCCAAAATGTCAAAATAACAGGTTTTTATCACATTGTGGACATTTGGTCCCCACAATGTAATATAAACCTAATCCACCCATATACACATGTGCACGTAGTGGCTCAATGCACAGCAGACCATGCAATTTAAAGGCCCTTTAAATGAAGGGCTCAACTTGAAGGGACCACAGTTAGACAGAGGGAGGGTCTTCACTCAAATCCAGACCGTCACCCTCCCCCACCCCTGGCTCTCTCACCCTTACAGACTGAGGTCCCTCATGTCCTCCTGACCACGGATCTGTGAAACACCAAGTCCCAGAGAACAGCTCATGTCAAGACATCCACCAGCCCCCCACCAAAAGGGCTCCAAATCTGCAGCCTGCTTTTTGCTATTCAGCTGTACTAACACCACAGAGTGTCTGCTTCTGTCACGTGTGAGGAATACTTGTTTGTGATGGCCAAATGAAGCTTCATGAACCAATTGCTGTACTTTCTGACACCACTAGATGGCACTCTCTATTCAAAAAAGGGCTCAATTCATGCTCCGACGTACAACCAAGAGCACCATCTAGTGGGGTAAAAAAATACAGAAAATGGTTCATGATGCTTCATCTGGCCATCACTAGTACTCGGCACATCACTGCAGCCTTACGACAGAGCACTGCCTGCTGAGCAGTAAGGTGGCTGCTTTAAGGAGCTGTGAGGGCGGGGCTTACAAAGTAGATGTCCGTGATTGGCACCTCCTCCTCGTCCTCCAGGGAGCCGTGACTCGCGCACTCAGAAAGCTGGCTGGCTGCGTCGGGCTCCAGGGTGGGCTCACTGGGAGCTGAGGCCTCCTCCGGAACTTTGCTGTAATGATCCCGTCACACAAACGCACAGGTGAGGCAAAGGAGCAGTTATAATCTCCTCCTTACATACATACATAAGTCATACAGCATAGTGATAAACAACCTCCATTCCGTGGTACTCGGACAAACGGTACCAGTCAAAGGTCTGGACGCACCAACTGGAAATCATTAGATAATGACCCTAAGTGCACATAGAGGTGCGTACTGTATTATCTAGTGAACAAGAAGAGAGATGGAGTCCTGTGACAGAAGACCTGGCCCCCACAATCCCCCTGACCTAAACACTACAGAGCTGGTTTGGGACGAGTTTGATCGAACAGTAAGAGCAAGGAGGACAACATGTGCCCAGAACTTGTGGAAACTCCTTAAGGATTATTAGAGAAGCATTCCAGGTGGCTACATCTGGAAGCTGGTTTAAAGAATGCCAAGAGTCTACATTGCTGGCATTGAAGCAAAATGGGGCTATTTTGGGGTGTACAATTTAAGAAAAATGTCGAGATGCTGGACAATTCTCTTAGTCATTGCAATATCTGATATGATTACTTCATTGCCTTAAGGCCTTTTACTATAAGGTGAGTAACAGAACTAAAACGGAACCAAATGCATTAACAGCAGGTGTGTCCAGACTTTTGATTGGTACAGTTCATGGAATTAAAAGTCAAATTTATGGTGGACATTTACTGTTCTGGCCCTTAGAATCACAGAACTATGACAAGACAACTACAGATGGATGAAGAAATGGCATGTGGAACTGGCAAGGTCACCTGGTCTCGGGTGTAGGTTCTGGGGTGGGTTCTGGTGTCAGCTCCGGGGCCAGGATGGAGGGTTCGCTGTCGTGCCTCTTCACCACCTCCACGGTGATCGTCTGCTGGTCCTCCTCATGCATGCGGAGCTCCTCCTGAACCCTGCACACACACCAGCGGAGCACACTGACAGTCACACCCCCATGGCTGTATGCACAGCACATCTCAGCCTTCTTAAAATACATGAAATCAAACCTGGGCAAAAGCAGCCCGTGGGTAAGCAAAAGAAAAGGCTTTGTGTTCAACTATATGAAGAACAGATAACCATTGTGCTACATTATGAAGGTATCTATCATGCGTTATAGATGAAAGCTTCATAGAGCATTCATAATGCATAATAAACATGGCTATAAAGTGTTATGCCTTTTTATAAATATAGTCCTATTTATAATACTTTATGAATGCATTATAATGCATTATGAAGGTATCTATAATGCATTATGATGATTGGTTCAAGTAAAGTGTTACCGAGCAGATTTTTGCCCATAAATGTTTCTTTGAAGTTGCTATTATTGCAGCTTTCATGGGACATGAAAAGCACCATTAAAATGGCCCTGCTGACACGGTGAGGCTCGGATTTGCCCAGCTCTGTATTGATGGCTATTACAATGGATGACTTTCATGCTGACACAGCCGTATAGCAGCAGCCAGCCGCATTAAAGAGGGCCCGAGTGGGGGTGTACGTGCCCCCGACTGCCGCTCACCTCCCTTCGTGGCTTAAGGACTGTGTGTGTCTCCTGGAGGGAAGAGAGAGAGAGAGAGATAAGGAGGCTACGCCTGTGCAGCCATCAAAGCTACGTGCCCGAAAACAGGGAAGGGTCAATGGGCTGTTAGGGTCCTGCGTATCTGAGCCTGTGCCTGTCTGGGTCCGGGTGTGTGTCCCTGTGCATGTCTGTGCTGGCCCGTGCCTGTGCCTGTCTGTGCCTGTGTGTGTCTGTGCCCGTTGTTGCCCGTGTCTGTCTGTGCCCATGTGTGTCTGTACTGGCCTGTGCCCATCTATGCTGATCTGTGCCCGTGCCTGTCTGTGCCCGTGCGTGTCTGTGTTGGCCTGTGTCTGACTGTGCCTGTGCGTGTCGGTGCTGGCCTGTGTCCTACCTGCTGCGCGAGTGCTCAGACGTGTCAGATGGGGAGCGCTCGGGGATGGACAGAGAGGTGGTGGAGGACAGAGTGGTAGCAATAGAAGCTGTGGTTGCCTCCTCGAAGGAGGGAGGGGTGCAGGGCAGCAGGTCTGGCCGGCCTGGGGGGCGGGGGAGTGACAGGGGGTGTCACTTTAATGCAATGGTCTCCCAGAGCCCATTACAGCGAGCGAGCGAGCGGAGGGACCACACACCATCGTCCTCCAACGTGGGGAAGCTCCGGGTCCCCCGCAGGTCAAAGGTGTCATCGTCTTGGTCATAGGCCAGCTGGCTGGCTGACCACACGGACCCCGGGCCTATGTGGTGGGGCACCGCCAGCACCCCGCGGCCCTTCTTAGACGGAGAGCACTTCAGGGCTGCAGGGAGAAGGACGACGATGTCATCGGTCTGTCACGCTGAGCGCAGAGTGTGAATGTCCAGCGTGAATCAGGAATCACACCTGCTGTGTTGCACACTTCAGCGTTTACAGTTGTGTAAAAGGATACAATAGATGATTTTAGATAACACACAATTAAAAGGGAAAAAGTCTAAAAGGAAAGACTACAACTCATGGATGTGCAGATGTTCCACATCTTTGTTCTATGGCACTGACAGAACATCCTCTTAATTAACTCAAGCATATAATTTGTTGAACCCAATGTGCTGGTAGCGGAACAGAACAAACTGTGGAGACAAAGATGGAGGGCTTTGGAATATGGATATACAGTATAGCTCAGTACTTACAGGAGTTCTTTCTGAACACAGTGGTATTCATGAACCTGAAGAACCTGTCTGCATAGAAACTGGGCCGGTGGACTGATACAGTGTCCTACCAAAGCAGAGAGAGAAGGGGGGGGGGCACACTGAAGCCCGACGTATCGGAAAACAGAACCATAGTGCCTACATACATACATACATACATACATACATACATATATACATATATACATAAGCCATACAACATTGTGATAAATGCAGGGCATCAGCTTCAGCCCCTTCCCATCCTCTGAATGGGGGGGGGTGACAGGTTGCCATAGCAAAGTCCGAACAACATCACAGTTAATTCATACGCACCTCATGCGGTGACAAATTAAAAAATTTGGAAGTTGGTCTTAGTTTACAAACCCGCCATTGTTCCCTGATGCAGCTCCTGCTCCTCTCTCCATGTTAATAAATGCATGAGGAGCAAGAGTGGGATTACCCAGGAGGTCTGGCAATAAAGAGCTACCAGAAACAGGGCCCCGCGTTAAATCATTCAGGATGCGTCAGGGAGGCTGGGCACAAAGTCTCCGGTCCTGACAGCAGCCCTGACGCGGCCGAGCGAAACGCGAGCAGCGCCTGGATCTTTACATTTATGTCCAGAGGCCTGCGAGATGCTGGAATGCTGCCGGTTTGACGCATGCTTTCGGAATGGAAGAGCAGGGTTTATTACAGGTTGGTATTATGCAACTTGTTTGGGGGGAGGGGGCAGGTGTGTTGATCGATAAAGTCAGCAGAATGTCAAAAGAAAGAAGAACAATGGGGCATTTTACTCACTCCATCGTGAACGAGAGCCTTCCAAGTGTGCTCCAGTTTTTTGATTAGCCTGAAAGGTCACAAGCAAATAAATAAGTAAATCACACTCAAGTGGGAGACAATAACATCTGATTACAGGATCACAGAAAAAATCATTATGTCCCAGCAGCCACAAGGAGACGCGGTGACCTGTCACTCGAGCAGCGCCTTGGATCGCATCCCAGAGCCGCGAATCCGGTTACCTGTAGGACTGCAGGATGTCGATGATGCCGATGTAGAGGAGCAGCCTCTCTCCCTTGCCGTTGACCGCAGGAATGCCCCCCATCCTGGCAGAAACAGGCAGAAGACTCGGTGATAGGTGTCATATTTTGATATTTGAGATACAGCAAGACCTGCTGTGACTGCATTCTGTATTTCTATACTTGCCATGTACAATAGAATAGGGCATTGAGCCCTGTTGTGTATGGGGCTATGTAGCTGCAGGCCAGTGAGATTGCCCATGCTGACCCCTGTCCACCGTCAAAAGTGCCTACAATGGGCACGCAAGCATCAGAACTGGACAATCCACTGCTATATTGCCCCATACACAGCAGAGCTCAATGCCCTGCGTGTCATGGTACATCACTCCTGTGATCATCATCAACATTATTTGCCACAGTAGCCCTTCTGTTGGTTTGTACCACACGGGGAAGCCTTCATTCATATCTTGAATCGATGAGTCTTGGTCACCCAGCACCCTGTCAGCGGTTCGTGGTTTTTCCCTCCTCAGACCACTCTCAGTAGGTACTGACCACAGCTCACCATGAGCGCCCCACAAGCCTGGCCCTTTCGGAGCTGCTCTGACCCAGTCTTCTGGCCATAATGATTTGGTCCTGGTCAGAGTCACTCAGATCTTCATCCCTGCCCATTTCTTCTGCACTCAACATGTTGACTACAAGTACCGTATGTTAGCTTACCATATCCCAGACCTTGACATGCAATGATGAGATAATCAACATTATCAGCTCCACGTGTATTTCTTTATTGAGGCCTTCTAATATAAGGTGAAGAACACAGCAAAAATGCACAAATGCCGTAAGAGCAGGTGTGTCCAGACTTTTAAGTGTAAATGTCTGTGCACTTGTGCATTGAAAGTCTCGGACACGTACGTATCATCTGTGTCGATGGACTCCCCGCAGGCGGCCCCTCCCTGGATGGACTCCATGGCGGTGGAGTAGAGGGCCTTCTGGGCCACAGGCCGTGGTTCCCCCGGCCCACCAGAACCCTGGAGGCCCTCGGCCAGCCGATCCCGCTCCGCCTGCTCTATATTGTGCACGCCCAACAGGAAGCTGTAGTCCATGATTTTGAAGCTTTCCAGCACCTGTGGCCCAGAGAAGGGTCATGGGTTTGAGTGCCCTTAAATTCTGTATCACTGCGCTGCGTGCAAATATCTCCTGAATAAGACTAGGTTTGACACGGTTAGTGCTCATTTTCCAATAGTGCACATAAGAGAAAATTTAAAAAGACCAGTGAGATAGGAGGTTGTGAGTTCAAGTCCCATGGTTGGATGAGTAACTTTGTCACTGTTGGGCCCCTGGCTAAAGCCCTTAACCCCAACTACTGCAAGAGTTCTGCCTGACCCAGCTCTCAAACCGCAAACTTACTTCAAAATGCATTATAATGGCTTATACTTATCATTATAATGCATTATGAAGGTATCTATAGTGCATTATTAATGAGAGCTCCATAGAGCATTAATAATGCATATTAAACATGGGTGTAATTTGTTATGCCTTTTATAAATACAGTGGTACCTCAGAACTCGAAATTAATCCGTTCAGAACTCCGGACCGAATCTTAAAAAGTTAGAGTTCTGATCGAATTTCCCCCATAAGAAATCATGGAAAACCAATTAATTGGTTCCGGCCCCAAAAAATTACACCGAAATATGTTTTTTTTAGCATTTAAATGCAAAATGAACCGGACAAAACAATAAAAGCATATACTGTACTAAACACAGTTACCCTTTGTTTCCGCTGAGAGACATGCCGCGTGACTCATTTCCCCGCGCGTAGACGTTATCTTAGGTCGGCGTTCACGGTTTGACTTCTGAGATTCAGATTGAGTTCTAGGTAATTTTTTTTTCAGATTGGTTGGTTCGACTTTTAAGAAATTCGAGTTCTAATGAGTTTGAGAACTGAGGTACCACTGTAGTTATAGCCGTGTTTATAATACATTGAAACGCATTATGAAGTTATCTATAATGCATTATACATGAGTACTTTAAGTAAAGTGTTACCAAAAGCTATAACACGTGATGTCACCAACTCCCTCTGCCCCTCCTCACCAGGCAGTCCCTCTGCAGGGTCTTGACCAAGGCGCTATAAGTATCAGTGTCCAGCATCAGCCCATCCTGCAGGTCCTGCAGGAAGTCCAGGTCCTTGAAGGTGGGCTTGGCCTTCTCCCGCTCCTTCTTGGAAGCCCGCCGCTTGTACGTGGAACCCTTCAGGTCGTACTTGAGGTGCATGCGGATGGCGCTGGGCAGCACGTTGTTCATGACCACCACGCGGATGTTCTTCCCACCCGACTGCACACAGTACAGTCCAAAGAATTTGGGCAGAAGGGTCCTGGGGTTCTGGTTCAGATTCTGGGAGGAGGAGATCAGATGTTAGAGGGAAATGGGAAACGGCCAGGGAGGACATACTTACATCTTCGTGCGATCACACGGCGTTTGGCGCTGGCATGCAAAATGCTTCCGGAAACTAATTAGGTTCGAGTCACAATGCTGTGCGTTAATTGCATAAAAGGGCACTGTCAACAGTATTGTACACACTCAACGATAGCAGGAGTTTCCTGCATTGGCAGAACATCAGAAGAGAGAGGACGGTATAAACACTACATATATGTTAATATTGGGATTAAAGGTTCTAGAATAGAAGAAGATTAGAACAGATTGTAGCCATCGGGATTGTTTGGCTAAAAATAGCAAGATGGTAATGCTCTGGTGAAGCAGCCTTTCAGTCTGGCCCGTGCATCCTGCCACTGCAGGGAAAACCTCTTCAAATCTGCTTCAATAGATTGGGGTAGAAGAGGCAAAGAGTCAAGATTTTCAGCGGAGACAAAAAAAAAAAACCTGTATTTAAATCAGCAGAGAAGGGTGAGCAGCCGTTCTCTTCCAGTGCAGAAGAGAAACAGAAACAGGAACAGAGAGAGGGGGAGAGAACGAGAAAGAGGGAGAGGGGGAGAGAGGGAGGAAGGGCAGAAGAGAGATAGAACTCACCATGTAATACCAGGAAAGAAAGGAAATACAGAGAGAGAGGTCAGCTATTCCCAGCTAGTACTAGATTTGAAGAAGAAAGAACTCTATAAGTAGTACCAGATCAGAGAGGACCCAGTTTATGATACTGAATTATAGAGGATCTACCGTGTAGTACCAGATCAGAGAGGACCGACCATATGGTATCAGATCAAAGGGGACCCATCATATAGTACCAGAGCAGAGTGGACTAACTACACAGTACCAGACCAGAGAGAACACGCCATATAGTACCAGATCAGTCTAGATCAGACTAACCACCAAGTACCAGATCAGAGATGACTCACCATAGAGTACCAGATCGGAGAGGACTAACCATGTAGTACCAGACTAGAGATGGCTAACCATATACTACCAGATCAGTGAGGGCTAACCATGTAGTACCAGACTAGAGATGGCTAACCATATAGTACAAGACCAGAGAGGACTTACCATGTAGTACCCGGGCAAAAGTTTCTGCAGAAACTCAGCCTCCTTGTGCATGACTGTCTTGATGATGAACTCGTCGTCCTTGGTGACATAAAAGATGGAGCCACTGGCCCCAGGGTTGGACAGCTCGATGAGGGGCTCGTTGCAGAGAGAGTACTGGGGGTGAAGCAGAGTGAGGAGGGGGGCTGTGAAGTCAGAGAATGTACCGGCTCTCTGCGCTCACAAACATAGTCAAGAAAACTCAGCATTACACTTAACAATTTGTCTTCATGTCCTATGATCCCAGACACACACACACACACACACACACACACACACACGTGCTCCAGTGACTCACGACCTGCGCCGCCTGAAGCTAGCGCCCCCGTCAGCATGCTGTGACTCATACCCCCGTCTCTCTGACAGCTCCCTCATCTCCATCCCAGCATGACCCAACCTTGGCATGCCCGAGTGAGCCGAGACCCCCCACCCATGCGGCGACGGCACGAGGGGGCGGGGCCCTCGTACCAGGTAATCGTCGGGCCGGATGCCGAAGAGCTCGCGGAAGTAGCGGAAGGCGACGGGCGCGTAGGTTTTGAAGCGGAAGTCTGGGTAGTGATGTGCTGGGGTCAGATTGCTGCCCTCACTGGAGAGAGAACGAGAGGGTGCAGAGTCACTGTGGTCCTTCATGGCCCCTGCAGAGGGTTCATGCAGATCCACGTGGTCCCCCCCGTCTCAGAAGTAAAAAAAAAAACCCTCCCCATGCCAAAAAAGTTTATTATTTCTTATTATTTGTGATTATGATTTAATTAAACATAAAGAACCAAAATTCATTTTTGCCTATGCAGCTTGATGCTGATCATGTTACATGTTTCTCAGAACTACTCACGACATAGAGACACTCACCTTGGGAAGAAGATGCTCTCCACCACGTAGAAGTCCTGCATCAGCACGTCCCTCTCTGGCTTCGAGCTCAGGTTGCCCACCGTGTAGCCAATGCCCAGCTGAATGGCCCCCTTCAGAGCTGAAGACGTGGTCTGGACAGACAGACAGACAGACAGACAGACACACACACACACGTTTGTTTTGCTTGCCAAAAACTTAAAACTCTGCGCCAACAAAAAAATGTGCTCATTTGTAAAATCTTAGATTATTATGATCCAATCAGAATCGTCCTGCCGCAGTTATTCAGCACATCCTGGATTCTGCAGCCTTGTTGCGCCTGAGGTTAAGCATCATAACCACCTTCTTATACGTGGTTTCTCCTGAAGCGTCCACCCCCCGGTGTCCGATCTTCTTCCCGGGACCGGAACCCATCTGTCCCGACGAGGATGGCATCTAGATGGAAGAGACGAGACGGTGAGATGGAGCGAAAGACAGAGAGAGGGAGAGACGTGTTGTCTGAGGCTCAGCTGTGAGAAGATGCTGAATTTCTTTGGGACAGCGGGGGGGCGACGCCTCCTCCAGAGGCCGGTGGCCCCGCCACAGATGGGAAGCTCACCTCTGTCACCAAGGCCTTCCTGGCGGCTGCGTCTGGGGAGGAAACACAAGACAGACCAGGGTCAAGAGACGCCATTTTCTACCACGGCAGAGTAAACAGAGACGCTAATGACAGGCCTGCGGACAGGGAAGCCACACATTTGCACAAACAGGAGGCGATTTTCAAGACTGTAATTCAACAAACTACAGGGGGGGGGGGGGGTTTGGGGCTGTTTTCAGTCCGTGCTAAAATGAAACAAAAGGCTCGTTTAAAATGCACAGCTGGGAAAAACACATGCCGGCCTGGCTTGTGGGAGTTATATTACAGAAAAATGTTATGAGGGCAGAGTGAAAAATGATTGGTTGGGATAGATAACCAATCAGATTGTAGAGGAGGTGGATCCCAGCAACTAGAGCAGGCGGGACCAACCAAAACTCCCATGAGCCCAGACTATGGTGAAAGATGCATGAGTCTGGGAATCAAGCTGTAGCCAATCATTCATCTCAGACTGTAATATGAAAATGCTCCAAGGTGTTGGATGACTGCCTGACCCTGTGCTCAGAATTCAGGCTTTGCTATATATGTGCACACCTTGAAGGAGAGCATTATGGGATATGTGAACACTAAAAAAACTCCTATGCACCTGTACTCATACAAATGACAAATTTCATTTCATTCTTTTTTTTCTTAATTCTAAACACAACTGCAGGGAAAGAGCCAGCAGGGGCGCAGAGGATAGTATATCCATGCGGACAGGTGTGCGGCAGCCCTCTCTGGGAAGCTGTGGCGTCACCACCCTCCCCCCCCCGCCTCCACACGCGTGCAGAACAAAGCTGGGCTCAGAGGCCACGAGAGAGAGAAAGAGAGAGAGAGGCATGCTTCCCGCAGACTCTCAGAAAAACACCTCCGGGCCGGAACTTCACATTACAGTCACGTAATTTCATACGCAGCGATCGGAGGGGTGTAAATGGAATAAATTTCGCTTTTAGGATGTACAGCAGGAGGCAGCGGCGAACATGACAGCGGGGTGGAGAGACTCATCGGCCGCTTCGCACGCGGCGTTGCTGCTGCCTCCGTTTCTCGCGTAGGGCCATGTGACGGTGTCAAAGAAAGACCATCTGCTCCGTTCCCTCACCACACACACACACACACACACACACACAGAGGCTTCTGACGCACGAGCCGCAAAAACTGCAAATGAGATCTCACCCGGGGTGAGAACGCTGCACTAAAAATGAAGAATCTCTGAGCCACATCACCCGGCACCGACACAGCAAAGCCCGCCCCCCCACCGCACATTCCCTCTCCCTTACTAAAAATGACATTCCTCCGACGGGCTTCATCCTCGAACCCACCGCACGGCTCATCTCAGCCTGTCACTGTCACCAAATTAGCGCTTCATTTGCGGGGATTTGAAGTCCCCTGCCTTCCTACCTAGCAACTGAAGGTTGCTAAGGACAAATTTCGGGTATATAAATAAACACGGAGGTGTGTGTGGTTTGCATGTCCTCCCCGTGTCGCCCAAAGACACGCAGTCAGGCTAACTGGTGTTTCGAAATTGGCCGTAGTGTATGACTTTGTGTGTGTGTGCGTGTGTGTGTGTGTGTGTGAGTACCCCCGCCTTCTGCCCTGTGCTGTCTGGGATGGGCTCCAGCCCCGCCCCGCGTGACCAGAACCAGGATAAGCGATTAGAATGTGGATTAACACGGAACATTAGTCAGATGGTTAACGCACCATTTCTGCGCTTGGCAGACTGAATTGCCGCACGTCCGGTATTCAGACCCCTATGCTTCACCCACGATTCCCGCATGCAGGTCGGCCGGCCCCCGCAGTCGGGACACACTTTGCATTGTGCCAGTTGCCAGCGGAGAAGGGTCACAGCCTGACACAGGAAAAGCCCCCTAGGTCTGAGACGCGTGACTGCGGGGGTGGCAGCTGGCAGAGATTCCCATTTCTCTGTTCCTTACTCTTCCTATAAGATCACTCTCTGGCTTTTACCCACAGAGAGACTGGATTGCAGCACAACCGGATCGGGAACTGCAGTAAGATGCAGAGATGCTGAAATGCTATGGCAGCTCATCTTTGGTCCACGTTCTGAAAGCGCTATGCAGATGTGACAGCATATTCGGCTGGGTGAGGCACTGCAAGCAGAACAGACGGAGACAGCCACACCGCCTGAAGTTTAGATTAGGTAATCCGTCGGAAGCTGAGCAGGTTTGGGCCTGGTCAGTACGTGGATGGGAGACCAATGAAGAAAGCTGGGTTGCTGCTGGAAGAGGTGTTGGTGCAGCCAGCAGGGGGAGCCCATCCTGTGGTCTGTGGGGATCCCAATGCCCCAGTGCAGTGATGGGGACACTGTGGCCAGCAGGGGGAGCCCATCCTGTGGTCTGTGGGGATCCCAATGCCCCAGTGCAGTGATGGGGACACTGTGGCCAGCAGGGGGAGCCCATCCTGTGGTCTACGGGGATCCTAATGCCCCAGTGCAGTGATGGGACACTGGGCTGTAAAAATGTTGCCGTCCTTCAGATGAGACATAAAGCTGAGATCCTGACTCTCTGAGGCCCTAAAGGATCCCTGGGTGTCTTTTGAAAGACTAGGGGTGGTACCCTGATCCCCTGGCTAAAACTGCCCTCTGTGGCCCTATCAGATCTGGCCTGCTAACCATCCCCTATATCTAACTGGTGAATTCTCTCCTGCCCCTTCACCACCTTAGCCACTGTGTGGTGAGCGTACTGGTGCAGAATGGCTGCCGTCACATCATCCAGGTGGGGGCTACACAGAGATGAGGGACGATGCGGCTCTGTGTTGGTTCTGTAAAGGGCTTCGGGTGTCTTGAAAAGCGCTACACAAATGTAACATTCACTCAAACATATACAGAAAAAATGTAACCTAGAAAAGGTTACTGTGGGGGCATGGCGGTACTGGGGGAGGGGTACTGGACATATGGACACTGGCTTTTTTGTAATGGTCTGGGTCTTGATCAAAGCATGCAGTGCCGAAGTGCCTTTTCTCCAACACCAGTACCTGCTGAGAGCCGAACACGTTCCCCCGTCAGCAAAAAGCGAGAGGATCACACGTTAACCGTCTCTGGTCACCTGACACGCTTCTCTAAGAAAAACAGGATGATCTCTTTCTGGCAGCCGTTTGCTTTACTTTAGCGTCTGAAGCTATCAATTACAGAAACACTGTTATGAGCTATGAAGCTGTTAGGCAGAGCCACATAATAAAACGAACAACAATTCTGCTACATCAGAGACTGAAAGCCATTAAAGCTGGGTGCTGAATCATAAAAGTGCTCATTTGATGGGACCGCGCATCATCTGCAGAAGGTGAGCAGGATTTAATCTGCATTAGAAAATATCTGATCTGGAAATGATATATGAGGTTTTATTCAGTCGTCTGCTAAAATTAGGTGTCAGATGCCTGTATTTCTCAGAAAAGTGGCTTTCAATTTTCAGAATCTGTGTATTCTAGAAGGTTGCTTTTAGGATGCTAAATAACAAAGGATTCTGATTCCAATGTGAGTTTAAAGAAGAGAGATGTGTGAAATAAAGCACGACAAAAACCTCACCGTTTCGATGACCTTCAGCAATCCGGCTGCTGTGGACATGTAATGACAGTCGGACAGACGGCATGGACACCCGTGACACGTCTGCCATGTGGGGGCTCCACCCACCTGTCTATTTGCGGACAGGTCAGCGCTGAGAAGGCGCAATCAATTGGATTGACTCTGACTTTAATCTGTGGCCACTGCCCAGAACACAGGAAACTGCAGCCGACCAATCACAGTGTAGGATTATGAGTGGAGGAGAGCCCCTGGGGAACCAGAAGGGTACAGATCGCGCCGTTAAATCTGCAGAGGTGGGGGCAGGTGGAGGTGGGGAGGGTAGGGTATGTGTCTAGATCACCTAATGCACTTAAAGGGTCCTGTCATTTACGATGATTCTGTCGACAGACAGCCATAAGATATAATTATTAAAACACAAATAAAAGGCCTGCAGCATGCTCGGTGTCAGGACTCTTCGTACCATAATAATAGTAATAATAATAATAATAATAATAATAGTATTTATTTATATAGCACCTTTCACATATAAAATGCAGTCCAAAAAAAAGATAAGGAAAAAAGAGACAAGCAACTAAACAGGGTAAGCAATTACGGAGCAAATACGTGCAAGGAGATGGTATAAAAGAACAAAGTACTCAAATTAGAATAAATAATAAGATGATTATATAAAAAAGCAAAAACAAAATATAACATTAGAATAAAAGATTTGTGCATGGCAGTCATGCCGGCAATCCCAGCAACGGCAGCCATACCAACAACTAGAGCTAATTCATAATGAGGGTATATGTCTATCAGACAGACTACATAACCAAAAAGGTAGAAACTTTATAAATAACTGTAAAATGTTCTAAACTGTTCGTTTTCCATGCAGGACATGCAGGTGGATCTTGATTTGCGAGGATAAACATGTGGGGCAGCCTGGTATGACCCATACGCTAGAGATTAGCAATGCTAGAAAAATGCCACTCTGAAGGCAGCCGTGCGTCCCATCAGACGGGCCCGACGGTTGGGTTGGCGTTTTCCTAGCGCGCTTCCTCAGCGCCTTTCGCTGCTCATGTCACATGTTTCATGTGCAAGGTGCCTACTGAGCCACGGACCATGCACAAGGTCTCAGTGAGAATCTGCAGCTCCTCTGTGCAAAAGCTGATAATTCATATGCAAAAAGAGCTCCCCTACGTCTAACACCTCCTCTTGCAGCATTAAAGTTCTACTTATGCACTTATAAGGTACGTATATAGCCACCTGTCCATTTTCAGCTCAATTATCCCAAGAAAAAATGCACTGAGAAATTTCACAGTAAAACCGTGAAGTTTACAGTTAAACCTTAATTATTCATAGTTCTACTATAAATTACATTATTTGACGATGAACATTTCAAAGTAGAACTGTGAACTCTTGTTTGATTTGGAAGTTCTTGGTCATCTCCTCCGATGTTTAATAATTCTGACTAGAGGCCCAAATTGTGGAAATACTTCCAATTTTTAG